TTGTTACACCCCTTCTTCTAAAAAAAAATCCCAAATCACCTCCCAATTTCATTATATTTATCTCTCTCTCTTTATAGAGTATATCCCTGTATCTCTTTGCCCATCATTAGTAAATTATCTTTATCTATCAGCATCCTTCATATTTAATCTCTCACTATTTTTGTCCTTCTCTTAAAATGTCTTGAGTACGATATTTTTTGTGAGGCTTCTCTCTTATTTTAAATACATATTTGTGTTTAAAACAATAACATTTGAATCCTTGTTTTAAACATTGTAGGAATCTATACGATTTAGGAATCTCTAGCTCTAAATTCCCTCTACTATTTAAGACTGGTGCTATGTTTAGATATTACAATTGATTAAAAAAGGACGTTTTCCATTTTTTTCCTGGATATGTATTAGCTTGCTTGAATTAAAACTGTCCTCTTGTCATTCTTTCTGTTTTTTGTCTTTTTTAGCCTGGAGGAGAGCTTCAAGACTTTGTTCTGGGCTATATTTGGACTATCAGAGGTCAAGTCTGTAGTGATTAACAATGGACACAAATTCATAGAGAACATTGGTTACGTTCTGTACGGGGTTTACAACGTTACCATGGTAATAGTGCTGCTCAACATGCTCATCGCTATGATTAACAGCTCCTTCCAGGAGATTGAGGTACGTCACTGCAGTAATATGTCACCACTTGGTCCAAGATCGAGCCTATAGATGGGAGTCGCAGTCCCACTAATTACTTTATTGCTCCCTCATGTAAAGTGGACTTTTATTTATTTATTTATTTTATCTTCATTATAACAGTTGTTTAGCTGGCTTACTGAGAGAAATCCTGCCTGATTTTTTTTTGTGTGAGAAAATTTGGATGTGACAGTTGGAAACTTAAAAAGACCAAGTTGACAAAAAAGCTTCCGGGTGCACAAAATACGGAATTAAGTTAAGATGAATAGTAGAAGCGGAAAAAGCACATATCAATATATGGGGCCGAGTTGATACAAAAATGCTTTGGTTCAAATTAGAAATGTTCACATACAAGCTGGTTTCTATAAAAAATATAAGGCTGTGAGAAACATCATAGCTGCAGAAATAAAATGAGTAAAAACACTATTGCTGGAAAAAATAGGCCACCAGAGCGATTAGAAAAACTGAGCAAACAGTCATTACCATCTCTGCTACTTACCATTAGAAACAGTGCAACTAATTCTTGTTTAGATCAAAAACCTGTGTAAATACTAACGTCACTTTAAGCACTTATTGGTTTTGTTTGGGAGCAGTAAAAATTCTAAAAGCAGCTGCAGGAAAAGATCTGTGGATGCATCTAGGATGTAGCAGTCTGTCACTGAAAGAGATCCCCAGCTCTGCAGCAGCTTCATGTATGGAGGATGGAGGTTGGAGATGCTGTCTAACAGTCCTTTGGTCTCCCACCACCTCTAGAGAGGAATTCTAACAGAGAGCTGGCCTTCATATTGAGGCTATCCAATCGTTTCATCTCAGATGTAGATAAGCAGTTGATCCAAAATGCAACACCATAACAGATGATTGATTCCACCACAGGACTGCACCTGCAAACACCATCCCCACCAAAAATCATGGTGGTGGCACCACCACGCTGTGTGAAGGCTCTCTCCCATATCCTGGATCTCTGTCCACAATACTCCAAAATACCTTAAGTTAGCAAATCCATTAATTATTATATATATTTTTTACAAAATAGAAGCATACACAGGTGCCTACACACATCTTCATCCATACAGTTATTACCCACAGTCCTCAGGTAACACAGCCATTGCAAAATATGTATAGATCCATGTACAGTTACTTCTTCCATCTCATATCTTTTTAACAAAAGCAGTTGAAAACTTCCTAAGCAGTCTAATAATAATAATAAATGAACTTTGTTGACCTCACATTCGAGGGATTTACCTCTACATTTAACCCATCCCCATGGTGAGCAGTGGGCTGCCATTGGGGAGCAGTGTTGGGTTAAGGGCAGTCTGTGGGAGTGGGGCTCAAACTCAAAACCTCAGGATTCCAAGCTCTATGCCCAAACCACTAGGCCACCTCTCTCCTCAATGCTTAGACAGCTATAATTCAATGCTGAGTTAGCTCCATTCTGTCACAATTACTTTTAATTTGGTTGGGGGCCCAGGGAGCAGTCTGGGGTTAAGGTTCTTACTCAGAGAGCCAGAGAGGCAGTCTGTGGGAGTTGAACTCAGAACACGTCTATTTTTGAAATTGAGATTATCCTTGTAGAAAATGAGGATTAACCAGATTTTTATAAAGACATATTTCCTTTTTTAACACAAAGAAACACTTACAACATCACATAATTATGTTGAATTGTGATAGAATATAAAAAGTTCAAGATGCTCTTTATCTAGGCCATGTTTTACTGCTATGGGTTTTCTGATCTTGCTATAGAGAAATTTGTGCCTAATTGCAATAAAATGCTGTTTTATTTCTCATCTAAATATCCTCTAAGCAACAACTTTATATTAAGGTGTCCTACAGTATGCTGTAAAGTTACTCAAAAGTAAAGTCTTATGGAGGTATTGCTTCTAGATCTTCCTGTTTTCATGCCCTTATCTAAACACACTAATTACTACTGCAACAGATGGGAAATTCGGCTGAGCGTGTTTGATTATTTTATCTTTATTTTCATATAATTACAGATAAAAAAAAACTCTGTTCTTTAAAAAAAAAGCATTTATTTACTATTCTAACCTTTTTTTTTAACTAATTTTTTTCTCTTCTGACACCTCATTAGGACGATGCTGATGTTGAATGGAAGTTTGCTCGGGCAAAACTTTGGTTTTCCTACTTCGAGGAGGGAAGGACACTCCCTGTTCCCTTCAATCTGGTCCCCAGTCCCAAATCTATGCTGGGATTGGTCACAGCCATAAAGTCCATGCTCTTATATGTGGTTCACAGACTCAATAAGAAGAAAGCTGAGATAGAGCTTAATCAAGTAAGTAGATTCCTCCTAATATGAATAAAAACCTCACAGACATACTCCAGCATCACAATGCAAGGAGTTGAATATATTTGCTATCCACATTTTTCAAATTTTTGAAAAAGTTCATACCACATCCAACTTCTTTGCAATTATATTCAACCTTCTTTCATTCTTTCATGATATATTGTACCAGAATATTTTTTAATTTTGTTTGTATTAAGAAAAAATGTAGTAATTTGCGCCCTCTTGTGGCAATAAAGTAGGACTGTGGACTTAATCATTTAACAACCATTTGTTTATTATTTTAGCTGGGAAAGAGCAAAGAACCAGGATATGGGGGATCTAATGGTCCAACAAGATATCAGGTATGAATAAAAGTAACTATGATGTTCCTCCTGTTGGATAGCTGAGAGTTTTAATACTATATTATGCTACAATTGCTTTTGTACATTAATATTGAATTGCTTTTATCCCACCTTTTTTTCTTCACTGGATGCAGAAGATCATGAAGCGTCTAATCAAGCGTTATATAATTAAAGCTCAAGCAGACAGAGAAAGCGATGAGATCACAGAAGGTAATATAAACTGAACTCTGTCTTTAAGTCATTATAATTATTTGGTTTTGTGGCAAAAAAAAAATACTTGAACTGGTTTGTAGTATTATAGTGTAATCACTACAGAACTCTGCCCAGCAACAGATGTCTGTAAATGTCGACCCCTGTTTATTTATTTATTTTTTTGGTCTCATTTCCTGTTTTACATTTCCTTATTATTGCCTCTGATCTGGTCCAGGTGAGCTGAAGGAGATTAAACAGGATATTTCAAGTCTGCGATATGAGCTGCTGGAGGAGAAATCCCAGAACATGGAGACACTGGATGGTCTTTTGAGGAGGCTGGGAGATTTTAATACAATGTGATCTTAGCGCTGTCTATTGACGACTGCTAAAACGAACAGCAGATAAACTGTATTAATATGGAGAAAATGTATGCTGTGGATGCAAAGCTAAAATAAATGCTTTTTGTAATATAAATGTGCATATAGGAGTTAAAAAACATCAATTTGCCTTTAAAAATTTCCCAACATTATCTGTCAATACTTTTTGTTGTTGATGCTTTTATTGGAATCACACATTTAAAGGGTCTAATAGAGCTGATTTTGTAGCTATATAATTACCTTTTAAAATGCCATTTGTAAAAAAGTATAAAATAATAAATGATCTATTTTTCCAACTATTTAACAAGGAGCAAAATAAAAACTGTATGCTTACAAATGGTTTCAGGCGTATGAATACATTTGGACTTATGTATATGTTAGGTTATATGTGGAACCAAAATTGAAATCATTTTTCAAGTTTTCTGTTTTAATCCCACCTTTTAAACAAAGCTGTGCTCATTTTTAAAAGGAAATTACTCTAGATTATTCTGGTATCTTTTAAAACTTTATTTTGTAAATGTCTTCCCTTAAGATTACATCAGTTTGTTCAAAAGTTTCAAAAATACAGTCTAAAATATAAAGCTTTGTGACAGTAAGGATTGGAGCTATAAAATTACATAAATAATTGCAAATGAAGTGGCAAATGAAAAAGGCAGAATCCACACATGCAGAATATTGTTTTAATTTGTTTATTTTAGACAGCAGATAATCTGACACATAGGGTATAAGAAAAAAAGTTCATACAGTTTAAGGCACTGAGGTATGAACATTGGATTTCTAGACCAACTACTGAAACATTAAAACATAAATTATAATGATTAATAGAAAAATAACACTTCTATGTACCTTTTACATATTTTTACTGGATACATAACATTTCAGAGTCTGCTAAACAAAAATTAAAAACGGTGATAAGTACTGAGAAGCTAAGCCTTACACGTCAAGTATTAACATCTACTGCACTGTTTACAGTAGCCCCATTGCTCATATTGTGGCACAGTAGTCAGTGATAACAGTCACAGTTACAGTATTGTGTGTTTTGGATTCTTAATAAACAACCCTTAAAATTTCAGTCAGACTCTTGTGATTTTCTCATGCGCTGACAGTTCATCAGGTTTGTCAGATATATTGGATGTAATTTTCGGGTATGAGGCCGGTTCTGCCCTTATATGTCGCCTGCAGCCAACCTGGTTCCACAGATGGACCCACTGCAGGAAGAAAACAAAACAAAACAAAAAAAACATCACGACTTTTATAACCCAAATTACAGCGAAGCACAGAGAGCTAATTTTCTGTTTTAGTGAAAACATGTTCCCACGTCGCTATTTAGAGAAGCGCTATTTAGCAATGATCTGCTGACACTTTAACATAATAACACTCATTTGTTTCAAAGTTGTTAAATCTGGAAAGAAGATTAGAAGATGTAAGAAGCAATTTGAAACTGTTTCGCACAACATTCTGTCTGTGGTAATTAAATCAACGTTTGATTTAGTGAGAGAAATTACTTGAAGGACATTACAGAAAGAATAAATGGAGCTTAGCAAGGCTGATCTAATTTATCTTTTTTCTATCTATTCTAGATATGAGATGTAAATGGTACAAATAGCTGTAAGACTTAACTAAAAACAGGTAATCAATTGACAGGAAATAAATAAATAACTTATATGGTCTATGGTGAAGGGAGTTTTCCCTCTCCACTGTGTGAGGGATTGCCTTTGAGTCAATAGTCAATGCAATCAGCTGGTTTTCTTTGGATAGAAAAACTTTAAATCAATTTAACTGTATGATCTTGTTGAATTGTAAAGGGCCTTGAGATGACATGTGTTTTGAATTGGCGCTATATAAATAAACTTAATTGAATTGTATGATCTTAGCGTTTTATTTAATAAAGCAAAATAGTTCTACACCTGATATTGAATGCAATAGCACCTCCTCTTGGCCAGTAGGCAGCATATTCGTCCGCTCTTTTCCTTCATTTGTACCGTTTGCCAGGTCTGCAAATTTAACTTGCACGTCCAGAAGAAGGTAGGAAAACTTTGCTTTTTCTGAGCTGTTTTCATACCTTAAGTTATAACCAATGCTCAAAACTTTGACTAATCTACCCCTTTATTTATTCTTTTATTATTTTGGTTGGAATCTCAGAAATTTGACTCATTCTCAGCTCTATTGCAAAGCTATAAGGTTCTCTGATCTCGCGTGACTTCCCCCTGCTAATACTATTGCTGCACAATTATTTTACACTGACATTGTATTCATAACCAGAGGTAAATATTTATGTGTTTTAGACCCCTCAAAAATGTATAAAGCAATAAATTATATCCTATATTTTTAATCTTTGTAAATGAAATTCATATTTTTAATCTGCACCACTCTGAAAGTATAAATTTCACTTACAAAGATAAAATATATAGCATATAAATCAGTATTATAGAACAGTTATTTTTAAAAGAAATATTTTTTAAGCAAATTAGTAGCTATGACCTTTAAAACCAATTCTGGATTCGGATTAAACAGCTGGTCACAAACAATTGTGAGACATGCATAAAAAAGAAGAAGAAATCCAAACTTTAGCAAGGCAAGTCTAAACATGCCCATTTGAAATTATAAAATATATGAATTTTCTAACAACAACAAAAAACAAATCAATGAACAGATATTTTCCCATCCTGATAAAGTAAATATTTGCTCTCATAAACCTTACCATTTGTGAACAGCGCCCCCTGTGGAAAACTTAATTCATGGCTGTGCTCTGCCTCACAGGAGTACATCGCTTTTGCTTCCCTGCAAGGAAAAGTTGATAAGGGAGTCACAAAGTGAAGTAACTACAAATGAATTCATCTAAATTTACGTTACCAGGCAACAGCATCATCAAAGTTATCATACCTTCCTGAGGGACAAATGTCTAACGCTGAGGAGAACACTGAACTCTCACGCTGAGGCTTCCTGGTTGATAACCTGCATCACAAGCAAAACATAATGCTTTAACTGCACTGAAATGTGGTTCTAAACACCAACAACTGAGATGTTCCGTCTCAAACCACACATAATCGACATTAGTTGTAATTTCCTAATCACAATCATGTGAAATATCTTGGGAGTTTTATTTTAAAAATCCTTTTGTTTAAAATAAATGACAGGTTTCAGTGAAACTCACAATGAGGCAGGCCTGGAGTAGCCGTTGCTGGATGCGGCTGCAGAGTGCTTTGGGGTGAGGTCGGAGCCGCAGCGGTTGTGTCCTTTACGCGTTTTTAATCTCTCCTGTCGGTCCAGCGACACGAGGCTCTGCACTGATCCATGGCAGCTTTTGTAATCTTCAATCATGTCAGAAACAGGGTGGGAGAGAGTTAAAATGTCTGACTTTTAATTATTTTAGAGGTGGAAAAAAAAGCTTTTTACACACCTTCTGAAATGTGAAGGGATGTGAGCGAGGATGAGGTGGAAAGCCGGTAGGGAAATAGAGAAGAGGAGGAAGAAGAGGAGGAGGAGGCAGTGCTATGTATAGGAGGAGAGGTACAGTTGGTTCCTCTGACTTCTGTGACTGTAGCACAGGAGGAGTTTCTTTGCTCTGCTGAACGAGTGCTCTTCAGGGAGGAGATGGAGGCTGCTTTCTGAAGAGGTCTACCCTCCCTGACAGAAGAGGAACGGTCCCCTAATGAGGGCTGGACTGACGTTGTGGACGCAGATCCGGGGTCTTTGGTAGAAGACAAAGAAGCGGTTGAGTTTCTGTTGAAAGACCTCTCCACTGCGGAGAGCAAAGAGGATGTGGAGGAGGACACAGAGGAAGTCTGCTCGGCTAAGGAGAGTGGAGCGGAGGTCCAGGAAGAGGAAGGCGTGAGGTGGGGGGAGGGGCCGCCGTCTGGTGGCTCTTTCTGATCTTTTCCATTGGGGGAATTGTTTGGTGGTGAGCTGGAGGAAGCCGAAGGAGGAGAAAACTGCGCTGCGGATGGTGAGCCGGGCTCAGCGGTGGGAGAAGAAGGAGTTGAGGTCTGAGACAACCCATTCTTTTCAGAGGAGTGGGAGGACAACGACTCCTGGCTGCCCATCGGAGTTGTATCAGGGCTGCTGCTGAATGTATCACCTGGAAAATAAAAGGAAACATCCCTTCAAAAACCAACAGAGGGAGATCTCCAGAACAGAGAGCTCATCTACTGCTTGGCTGATATGGATTATAGGGCCCAATTCCAAGCATGTTCTAACGAATTACTAACCATACACCAAATAAAAACATTGAGGAAAAAGTCCCGGTTAGAGGGTGATGTGACCCTATACATCCAACTATAAATTCTTCAGTAAACCTGCTGATAATGTTAGCTGAGATGCTAGGCTAAAATCATCTTTATTCTGATATGGCTATAAAAATTCAGCTATTTTTTTTATTTTTTGCAGCTTAAATTAACTAAGAGGAGAAAAGTGGTTATGTTGTTTCTGCTTTACTCTGAATGATGTAATACTATAATTAAAAAAAGCAGGATGTGGTGCTCTGGTCTCATCTCTACAGTCTGGAGGAATGGCTCCTGACTGAATGCAGTCTGTCCGTATTTGGAACACAATCTGAAACATGGCTGCATTTAAGAGACATTAATTCAAGCTCAATAAAACACTTATCCTACCGAGTAGGCCTGGGTAAAAAATCGATTCAATTAATTAATTCAAATTTTTTGTTGCAGGCAATTAATTAAAAAATCTATTTTTTATAATTGCACATTTTTGGCTTCCTGGAGATTCTGTAGCTGCAGCATTGCTCTCAGGTTGCAATTTGGCAAGTAACAGCGTCACATGAAACAGCAAACGACATAAAGACTACAGGTGAGTGAGGTTGTGTATTAAAAGGCAAATTTTAAAGCGGTCAGAAAAGGTTCCTGGTCTAGATAGCCAACAAGCTAGGTGTTAACAGAAGCACGGCTGCCAATAGCGCGGCGCGGTAGTGATGTGCCCCACGCATAGCTAAAGACATGGTGACCTGTTGGTACTTATTGCTGTCCTTAATAATTAGGGAGGAAAAAAAATCGGGAAAAAAATCATAAATCGAATTAAAAATAAAATAATCTGAGATTTTTTAGGCCATATCCCTCAGAATCTGAGATATGTTATTAATAAGAAATGAAACAGAACAGTGACCAATAGGCAGACTCACTGTCATTGTCTGCCAGGCAGAGAGCCGGAGTGTACCGAAGGGCTTTTCTCTTTCCAGATGACAGGCAGATGGCCTTGCTCCTCCTCGGAGTCGACCGAGAGGTCGGAGCCTGAGGCAGCGGCACCGACAGGTCCGGAGTCTCACCAAAAATCTGACAGGAACAAAAAGCAATTCACATGAATGATCGGCGCTCCACATTTACATGTGTGTGAAGCTTTAAAGCTCACTTTGTCGTGCTTTTCAATGATGATCTCCACCACAATGTTCTGAAACTTGATGTTCATCATGGCCGCCACCGTCTCCTCCTGTGACCTCATCAGCGTGGGGCCAAAGATCATCCCAAGGTTAGACACGGTCATCATGTTCTGATCGCTGTGGGAGGACACCCTGCATGCACAGACCACCACACACACATTTCACAAGTATAAAATCATCTATAGAAATTTACTGAATAACTTTCAAACAATGATCACACCATGAATCCATGCACATACTTGTGAAGGTGATTGGTTAAGATGTCCAACATGGTTTTGTTTTTTTCCGGCAGTTTGTGTACGAGAGCATGAATGGCTCTCACTCTGTACGTCTGGTCGTCGTACTCTGTGACAGAGGAAGAGAGCATGGAGGCTGGAGCTTGGTGTGCTTTAACCCTGAATATACCGCATAAAACAACAAATGCTGTCTAGAAACTTCTTAAACATCATTCTGTAAAGTAATTAACTCCCTTAAATCTGTCATGTTTAAACCACTGTTTATTTATTTATGTTTTAAAGGCCCAACATAAATAATAACTTTATTCAGTGGAAGTTAAAATTATACCTTCATATATTTAAAAAAAATTATAAAATTATAAAGCATTGTGTGTATTTAGAGGGCTGAAGGAGGGTGGACTCCTCCTTCCGTCTATAGCCTTTTGTGGGACATATTTCATTTGGCGATTTCGCCATCTTCTAATCCCATTTTTACTACTTTAGTGTCCCTCATGTAGGAAGGCCTTATCACATAATGCTGCTACCACCACCCTTTGTTATAATTAGGGTAATATAAACCAATATTCTTTTGATTATCTGACACGATCTGAGATCTTTCTTCCATATCTTTGCTGCAAACACTGTAAGTGCTTCCACTAAGCTGAGGATATCTGCAGCTCCTCCAGATTCTTGTTTTAATCTCTGATTAATTATCTCCTTGTGGTTTTATGTGGGCGATCAAATCCTGGTAGGTTTGTAGTTTTGTTATACATAATAGATGTTGGCTTTTGGGATAAATACTTTTGCATGACCTAATGCTTCCTACAATAAAATCAATAAAATCTTACTTGCAGCCCTGATGAATTCTTTATGCAGCCTATAGGTCAGTAACGGTTCTGCCAAACACCTGGACATAGATGAGAGAATAAGAGTTCACAATTTAAGGGCCAATTTACTTAAAAAAAATAAAGAAATGATGCCATATATTCATAAATTACCGGAAATAATCTTTCAGGCCACTGGTTATTGTCTTGTTGTCCCAAGTTTCTGCATCCAGCTGTATATCCGAAGATGCAGTAGAAGCTGCAGGAAAACTTTTGTGTTATATTCACTATTGTATTATTATAAAACCAAGTTAATCTCTCCCTGATTTCAATATGTATATGTATATATAACATACCAAATGCACTGGCCATCAACCGCTGCACTTTGGAGTTTACTCCACCCGTCCTGTACAGTCCAAGAGTTGTAAGGCCTGCAAACAAGTTAATACATAAGGATCGGCAAGAGATGCTGTAAATATATTGTTTTAGTTACATGTTCTAGGTTGGTGAATACCTCTTGATTCAACCAGCTCAACACACTTCTTAACAAAGTTGAATCCTGCTTCGTTGAGAAATGCTATAAAAAAAAAAAACGCCAATGTCAGACTGAAAAAATCTTTACCAATAAATTAATTTGTTTAAGGAGAATCTTCAGACCCAAGCTTGATACTTACTCTCTTCTTTTTTACTGAGCAGAGAGGGAAGAGTATAAATCTGCACAGACAGAGGAGAACATGAATATAAATAGCTTTTTTCTTGTACCAAAACAGTCATTTCCCCCCAGGGATATATTCTTTATAGAGGTGGGTGTGTTCTTACAGGCTCTTTTCCATCCATTGCCTCCATCCAGAGCCGTCTGTTGGCCTCTGACAGGGCTTGCAGAGTAATGACGCCATGTCTGGATGAAAAGAAAGTCACACCCAAGCTCAACTAGGCAGCAACACATCCAATTATTCAATCTAAAAATAAACCGTTGCATCATTCAGGAGAAACACAAAGACTCTCAGTCAGACTGTCCCCTCACCTCTCCACCACCTCGATGTCAAAGCAGAAGCGTTTGTCGATGGATTCGGTCTTCCTTCGGACACATGAACGCAGCCTGAACATGTCTGGGGCCCCAGTCACCACGCCATTCTGATAGACAGACCAGCGACACACATGCATCAACGCTGTTTTTTTACTGACTAAAATAAACTTTCAGGGGAAAGAAATCAAATATGTAAAGAGTCTTGAGTGTTAAAATGTTGGTTTTTGAAAAACAGAAGTGTTTTCTAGTACTTTTTGAAAATTTATTTTAAATGCTAAAACGAGAGAACACAACAAATATGATGAAAGTAGTGTGAAAGGATTTTATAACAAAGTAAAGCCTTCTTAGATCTTTCTTAGATAACTATGCAGTTGGTTCCTGGCTGTGGGTCGCTGGTTTTAGGGAATATGTTAGCAGCCTGTAGGCCATGAAAACTGGGCTTGATACTGGTGGCCATCCCTTCCTCTTGGCCTCTCTGGTGCTACCTCACCTGGTGAGGATTAAGGCTGTGTTAAAAAAATTGAATGGTCATCACCAGCATATTTCAAAGTAGCGGGCCGCTAAACTGAAAACGCTACTATGAAATCTGTCCAAAACACTCATTTTTCATAGCGATGTCTGGGCTCCCCTGGATTTCTCACTTCATTTTAGCTCAACTGCTGGTTATGCTCAAAGCTTCAAAATGACATTGAAATTAAGCTGGTGGTGTAATAAGAAAAGCACTATGAAAGCGGGAGCCCCTCCCCCTTCAGACTCCGTCCTCCCTCAGAGGCGCATGCAGGTAGGTTAAATAATGCGCTCCTCCCTGTTAGCAGACAGAGTGCAATCCTTAAAGGCAGGGGTGGAGTGTCCAGGTCCAGAAGGATTCCCAAACAGCTGCTCTGTAAAGCCGGATTCGCTGATGGGCAGAGTGAGTTTTCTTTTACCCAATAAAACCTGCCATATTGCTGCAATGGTAAGCCAGCCCTAGTTGGAAGGGCGCTGTTCCCTCCACCCCTCTGTTCTAAGTTTTGCCCCCCATGGCAGGCTTATGTCGGCCGTGTGGATCTCCTAATCAGTGTAGGCCCCAAAGACAGGGACGGCTGGGCCCAAGTCTGTCTCTGTCACTGGTCTCCAGTGGAGGACGTAGTTGCAGGGTTGAGTTGGGGGGTTGGGGCCTTGTGATTATCCCTATGTCTCTTTGGCCTGGGGACTAATGCTCCTGTGATTCACTGTGAACCTGCCCCTGTACAGGACATGTGACCTGCCAGGGTTCCCTGAGACTTTCTGCCTTGGGTCTCTGCAGCCTCTCTACTACCTGCTCTTTGGTTCTAAAAACGTTTGTCTATGGTTGGTAAAAACACACACAAACACACACCTGCACAAATTTCGAATGGCAACTAATCAGAAACCTTAAACATAAAAAGAAAATCTGGTTATATTAGAGTTTTTAAAGATAAATCGGATCCAGCTTAGAATAGTATAGGAAAGCTAAATTAAAAAAACTAAACAAAACGAAAACTGCAAATCTACATTACCATTCTGATCAGTGAATGCCTTTAAATAGAGGGTTTAAGGATGTTTTAAAGCACCGATATTAGTGTTTAAAGGTGTCAGCAGCCCACCTGTCTACTGGCTGGCCGGGTCTCTGTGTTGCTCATGGAGAACATCTTTGAGCTCCTCTCGTAGGTACAGTAGTATCGGGTCCACACGCTTCCCAATGGACCTGCACACATTATCATATTTTTACATCCATAGATCTGACACTTTTATGACCAGCATTTATTCTTTCTTAAGGAAAAAGAAATGTTACCGATCTGTATTTTAGAGGGTAGCTTACGTTTTTCTTGTATGTAGAGAAATCCCTCCATGGTGAAGCAGCTGGGGGCTTTGAAGTCATCCTCAGCAGACCTTATCCTTTTCATTAGCCTCTCAACTTCAACACGAGTACTTTCAAAGTTGTTGCGAGCCTTTACAAGAAAAGATAGGGGACACCTTAGAAACATGCTTAATTAAATAACATGCTCAATAAATAATGTGAATTAAATTGTTTGGTTTTGTACGACACTATGGACCTTCATCATTATCAGTTGATCTGTTCTGTGTTGATTAAATTCCAACAAAAAGAGGTAAAATGTTCCTGCAAGTTTTAAAAGTAAAATTTTGGAATTTTTTAAGTGTCTACCAACAATATTTGAAAAATACCACCATGCAGCTCAGTTTGAGCTGCATGCTTCAAGGTGCTAACTTAGCGATGCCTGAAGCCCATGTGACTAGACAGTGGAGGACAGGATGGCCAGTGTGTGAGCGAGTTAAACCAGGGCTATGATGACAAAAGCCATCCAACAGGACAATTCAACTGCAGTAGTCATTGTTCCACCACTTGTGGCAGCACTAAGATGGTTTTGAGACAAATATTGCACAGATAACAAGACAAAACGAAAGTTACTACCGTAACTACGGTTCTATGAATCCCGGATGACCGCCAGAGGCGGTGCTTCAAGCACTGAATGATCATTCTTGCGCATGCGCAGGTCGAGTATTAATGACAACAAAGTCAGCTGTGACCTGCCGGGGACCCACGTGACTCTATATAGTCACGTGGCACCCGGCAATCAATCCCTCAATCTTCTCGCGAAAGCAGAGATTCCGAGGGACCAAGCACTCTGGCGGTCATCCGGGATTCATAGAACCGTAGTTACGGTAGTAACTTTCGTTCTATTTCATCCCTACTGACCGCCAGAGGCGGTGCTTCAAGCACTGGATGACTCATATCAACAAGGTCACGAGGAATCAGCAACATTCAAGGAACAACGACTACACCACTCACCTAATGTGATGTAGAGGCATGCTGCTCGAGGATTCCCTGAAGCGGATGGGGCGCAGCCACATTCACCCTGTAGAACCGAGTAAAGGTACTAGGTGACTTCCAGGAGGCCGCACGACATATAACATCCAATGGCACCCCAGTCATAGCAGCAAACGATGTCGACATGCCCCTTGTAGAGTGGCATTTCACTCCCGCCGGCAGTGGCCGGTCCTGCAAGGCATAAGCCTTGGAGATCAAATCCACAACCCAGTGTCCAAGTCGCTGCTTAGAAAGTGCCTGACCTTTCCGTGAGCCAGCGTAGCAAACAAAAAGGCTATTTGTCTTTCGGAAGGATGCCGTGGCATTGATGTATGTCTCAAGGGCACGGACAGGACACAGTGGTTCAGAGGGACTTCCGGAGTCAAACCGGGCAAGATGGAGAGGCTGGGTGCTGCCTGCTGGCAGTGATACCTTAGGAATAAATGCTACATCAGCCCACAGTGTAACGCCTGAGCCATCAGGATTCCACCGGCAGCAGGGTTCGGCTATCGAGAGAGCCTGTAACTCCCCTACACGTTTTGCGGAAACCATAGCTAAAAGGAACGCAGTCTTCAGTGAGAGCCATTTGAGGTCCGCCGACGCCAGGGGCTCAAATGGGAGGGACCGAAGAGCCTCAAGCACAAGAGAAAGGTCCCACGCCGGTGCCACAGGGCGGTTGGGTGGGTGCAAACGCCGAGCACCTCTTAAAAACAGTACAACATCCTTGTCTCGGCCCACAGAACAACCATTCAGCCCAACATGCCAACAGGAAATGGCAGCCACATACACCTTTAAGGTAGATGGGGACCGTCCTTGATCCAGCAATGCCTGCAGGAAGGTCAGTATGTCAGAAACTGAGCACTGCACCGGGTCCTGCCCTCTATCACGGCACCAGGTCGCAAAGACCGTCCACTTGTTAGCATAGACAGCTCGCGTGGACGGCGCCCATGCATTAGCCATTGTATGCCCTATGGACCCAGTGTATCTTGAGAAGGTGGACCCCGGCCTTGCAGGGGCCAAATCCAGAGCTGGAGCCGGTCCGGTTCGGGGTGCAAGATCTGACCCCCCATCTGGGAAAGAAGGTCTCTCCTGGAGGGGAGACGCATTGGCGAGCCGGAGCTGAGCTCGCACAGTAGAGGAAACCAAGTCCTCGCTGGCCAGTAGGGGGCCACCAGCAGGACCCTGTGCCCCTCCTGACGTACCCTGAGGAGAGTCTGAAAAAGTAGGCTGAATGGCGGAAAGGCATAAAGGAGGGTCCTGGGCCAGTCGTGTGCCAGAGCATCGTGGCCCAGAGGGCTGCTGTTGTCCAACGAGAACCAAAGGGGACAGTGAAATGCGTCCCTTGAGGCAAAGAGGTCCACGTCCGCCCTGCCAAAGACCTTCCAGATGCACTCCACCACCTCTTGGTGAAGCTTCCACTCCCCTGGAAGCGGCTTCTGACGGGATAGAAAATCTGCTGGCACGTTCTCCGGCCCTGGGATGTAGGCTGCTCTGAGGCTGGCTATGCGTGGAGCTGCCCAGGTCAGAAGCCGTTGAGTCAAGCACAACAGTTTCCTTGACCTCGTGCCCCCCTGGTGGTTGATGTGAAAGACCACTGTGGTGTTGTCTGACCTCACCAGCACGTGCTTCCCCCGCAAGCCTGGAAGAAAGCTCTTAAGAGCCAGAAGCACAGCCTGTAACTCCAGGACATTGATGTGTTCCCTGCCCTGCCGCTGGGACCATGTCCCCTGTGCCATTTGACCCCGCCAGGTTGCACCCCAGCCCGTGGAGGATGCATCTGTAAACACAACTTCCCGACGACACGGGAGGGAACCGAGCGGGACCCCTGTGGTCATAAACAACCTCACCCTCCATTGGGACAGAGACTGAAGACACTGAGGCCCCACCCGAAGTCTTCGGAGACGATGAGTGTTCCGTGTGGGATCCAGATTCAAGCTGTTCAACCACATCTGGAGGGGCCGCAATGACAGCAGCCCCAAGGGCACTACGGCGGACGCAGCTGTAAGCATGCCCAAGAGTCGAAGATACCGCACAAGAGGCAGCGCCATGCCGCGCCTGAATTCTGGGAGCACGCTCAATATACTGTCCACCCGCTGGGGTGACGGGCAAGCAGTCATTGAGATGGAATCCATGGCAATGCCCAGGAAGACAGTCTCCTGTGAGGGGGTCAGACTGCTTTTCTCCATGTTCACCTGCAAGCCCAAGCATCCCACATGATGGAGCACTAACCGAGTATCTCGAACCGCCTGGTCCCACGTCGCGGCACAAATGAGCCAGTCGTCCAGATATGGGAGGATCCTCAATCCCTGTGCCTGCAGAGGAGAGAGGGCCGCTGTAACACATCGGGTGAACACCCTGGGGGACAGTGAAAGTCCGAACGGGAGGACCCTGAACTGGAAATGCCTCCCTTGAAAAGCAAAACGAAGAAACCGCCAATGGGGCGGAGCGATCGGAACGTGAAAATAAGCATCCCTGAGATCTATGGAAGTGAACCAATCGCCCGGGGAAATCGCCTGCAACACTTCCTTGGTGGTCAGCATATGAAAGGGCATGGCCTTCAAGTACACATTCAGGCCTCTGAGGTCCAAGACTGGACGCAGGCCCCCGGTCTTCTTCGGAACCAGAAAATACGTGGAATAAAAGCCCCCTGGATCCAGCAGGGGGTCCACAGGCACTATAGCACCCTTGGCCAGCAAGGTGCAGATTTCTTGGTTCAGTGCCTGTGCCTTCACTGGGTCGTGGATCACAGTCATCCTGACCCGGCCAGGGATAGGTGGCCGGCGGCGGAATTGAAGACGGTACCCCCGGGACAGGGTGGACAACACCCACAAGTCCGGGGTGTGGGCAGCCCAGAAGCTGAGCTGTCCCGGGGAAAAATAACCGACCGCCGGCCCTAAGGCATCATCTGCGGGTCCCCCGGCCCTTCGAAGGCCCGGGAGGACGCCGGCCAGACTGCGCGGCTCGAAAGGGATGAAAGGACCTCGTCCCAGCCTGGTCTCGAGCTCTGTTCCTCCGATCTAGAGCAGGTCCCCGGACCGATCTCTGACCTGGTAACAGACCCTGGGGCTCAGTGGGAGAAGGAGAAGGCACTAAGGACCTCCGTGAAGGACCCGCAGCTGCCCAGGTGCTTACTGGCTGGCGATCACGTCTGTGAAGCCCTGCCAGCTGTTGCCTCGTTCTAGAGGCCTGAGCCGTACGGTCCAAGGCGTCCAGTGCCGCTGAACCAAAAAGCTCCCCCGGGACCACAGGCAGGGCCCGGAGGGTCCTCCTACAAGGCTCAGTTAGTGGTGACTGCGCCAACCAGACCTGGCGGCGAGCATGAACCAGTGTGGAGAGTGTGCGTCCAAGTTCCCTCGTCATAAGAGCAAAGGCCTGCAGTAGTGATGGGCAGATGAGGCCCCATTGGGTGTATGGCACATTTCCCAAACTGTGTCGACACTGTGTTGAAACTGTTTTGCTGTATCACTGAATGGCGACATCTGCTGGATTTAAAAAGTAATTGCAGGCAACTTCAATAAAGACTGGAAACAGACTGAACAAGGTTCTTTCACACATTTTTATTTAGAAACATCAGCTGCGTTAACATCTTTGGGCCAAGGCGATTGCGCCGCTTACAAACCATTTCTCCTGCTTTTGAGAACACCCTTTCACAGGGCACTGATGATGACGGCGTACATAAAAATGTCATTGCAAGTTTGTACAACGTAGGATAATTTAGTCTTTGCGATTTCCAGTATTGTAGTGGATCCTGTGATCTTGGTGTGTTCTCTTCGGAGATGTATCTTTGTACCTCGATAATGGCATCGGTGGTGACATTTGAATTGGCCTTGCTCTCCTTGACTTCTATGTCCAGCTGGTGCCACAGGTTGTCATCTGAGGAAATAATAAAATGCATCTGTGTTACTAATTCATAGTATTCACATGGAATGATTTGCATGAACATTAAAATACAAATGAACAAAATTAAGAATCATACATACCTGGATTGGAATCAGATGGTTGAGTTGAAGGTCCAGCTTGGGCATCTTCCATTTGTGTTGGTATAGCGTTTCTCATTACTGCTGCACACTCTGATTTTAGTCTTTTCACTGCATCATTGGCTTTTGACGCACTTAAGAATGC